ATTATTATACTCTGGTGATGCTGACATTTTCTCCGTTTCCCAAGTGGGATTGTAGACGTGATTGACTGCACACTGCACTGTTCTGCCAGACTGAAATAAAAACTAAGGCTATAATTTTTACAAAGGTTTAAGCTTGCTTTCACCTGAAAAATTAATAACATTTCAGACAAAGGCTTACAAATCTCTTGACATTCATCTCCAATCTCTTGGAAACTACAGCCCTCTAATCTTATGCTGCAGGCAAAGCTATGCGAATCAAATGAAAATTAATTAACTGAAATTAAATGGAAATTAATTGTGTCTGCTGTAATTACATTTCAGTCTAGTCTTAAGCTGTTTCCTTTACTGTGCACAGTGTTATGTGTACAAAGATGCTTCTGCACTACACTCAGTGCAATTCAGATGCCTAAAATCTGAGCTTGGGTTCCAGGTTCAGTTACCAGTTTTCTTTTTCAATTACAGACAGGCTATATTTTTGTTGAGGCCCACCTAAGATTATAACAATTAAATACAGACTCAAACAAATTGTGGAAGTCTCTGTACCTCTAGAAATCTGCACTTTTCCATGAAATAAAAATCTGCCATTAGTATACTATCCATCTATCTATCTATCTATCTATCTATCTATCTATCTATCTATCTATCTATCCCACCGTTATTATTTTTTAAAATAACTCAAGATGGTGAACATATCCAACATATCTTCTTCAGCTTATTTTTCCCATAACAACAACCCTGTGAACGTGGGTGGGCTGAGACAGAGTGACTAATACGAAGTAGCACCCCTGGCTTTTATGGCTAAGTCAAGACTTGAACTCACGGTCTCCCACTTTCTGGCCTGGTATCTTAACTTCTGAATCTAGACCAAATTGGTCTTATATAGTCTATATAAATAAAAGTCTATATCAATTGAGCCAATAAAAAACGTAAAAGCAAAGTTAATCAGCAAATGGACAGAACTACATTTCATGCCATTTTTATCTTGATCTCATACACCACGCCCCTTTCAGTATTCCTAAATATATAGCAACAGCAGTAGCACTTAGACTTATATACCGTCCATAGTGTTTTACAGCACTATATATTTTCTAAGTTTCTGTATTATCACATCAAAGAGCAAAGTTATATACCCTCTGTTAATTTGGCAAATCTAGACACTCTTGCTGGCACTCTTGCTCTACTTCAGGTTCCCCCCAGATTATTAATCCTGGAAGGTAGAATTGATGATCTCTTTAATCTATATATATATAAAAGTGAAATACCACTCATCATGTAATCTGCAGAACCGTAAAGCCTACAAACTTGAAATTTAGCGAATATGTTCCTCTTGGCTTCTAAATGCTCACTAAGAAAGGATTTTTCAAAATGACCATCAGATCATTAGTATTTCTTATATTATTATTAACACGCTCTGATGCTAAGGAATTAGACATTCTACTCCCCCTCCCCACCTGAAAAGAACTCTGTTCCAACTGCCACTTGGGCGTGGGCATGGCCAGTGCGTGACTTATCCGGCCTGCAGGCAGGAAGTTTAGAGACTCTACTCCTCTTCCCCACCTGAAAGGGAGAGAAGGGGATAAGATAGGAAAGGCTTCTGTGGGGCAAGCCTGAGGGAGAGAAGGGGAGAGGAGAGTCTGATCATAATTACTCATTAATATTCAAGCTTTAACTGTCAATTTATCAAGCCCGATCACATAGTTTTGTAGCGAAACGTGGGTATCCAGCTGGTTGCAAAATATTCAAACTGGCAGCAAAAGAGAAAAGTACACATTTTACTACATATTGAAGTTTCCAGGAAAGTGACTAAATTTTGCAATACAGTCAAAACCACTGAATTGAATTGGAATTACCTACTGTAAAATTTGAAATTTATTGTCTTCTTCAGTTAATGTACTTAACCAGTATCCCACACCTCAACCAATTTATATTAATGGGTGTTTTATTTTGTTCCATATTCCTACCTGAACATTTTGTCCTCTTGTATTATTTTAAGCTCTTGTACTTTGGCGGAAATAAAGCATATTTCTCTATCTATCTCTCCACATAGAAACCATTTTGACAATTACTCTGTGAGAGATACCAACATAGCAACTGTTCTGTTACTCCCTGAGCTGTAATAATAGCAATCCAAATTGCTGAGTGTTACAGCTCCATAAATCATTAAGAACTGTTGCCCAAGTTATTTTATTTTCCTTTTGCTTTCCAACCTGTTTTTCTACTGTATCTATAAAGGGTGTCAAGTCTTTTATTATGTGATAAGCTGCTGTGGGACCTTCCAAGAAGAACTAATGCCTTTCAGAACAATGGGATATAAGAATTAATAATAGCAGAACAGTGGGGTATTAAAATCATTTTGACAATAAAGAGAATTTAAGTGGTGGCTCAGTGGCTAAGATGCTGAGCTTGTCAATCAGAAGGTCGACAGTTCAGCGGTTCGAATCCTTAGTGCTGTGTAATGGAATGAGCTGCTGTTACTTGTCTCAGCTTCTGCCAGCCTAGCAGTTCGAAAGCACATAAGAAATGCAAGTAGAAAAATAGGAACCACTCTGGTGGGAAAGTAACAGCGCTCTGTGCGGCTTCTTACTTATGAAACACTCTTTTCTGCACAAGTTGCTGTTTTCTCCATTAGCAACAAGATAGCACTGAATGTTTTTATTGTACTACCCTTTGATCAGGAACCATATCTTTGCCTAATAGAATCTTACACAGTTGTATTATGGAACAGACTTCTTTAATATTTAACACTAATAAGATTTACTTATTACTATGGAGATATAACAAATCCATGAATTCTACAACTGTATTAAAAAGAACTAGATTCTGCTGTACAATTGCTTGAAATAAGAGGATCAAATAATAAATTATGTGTTATATTATAAATTCTTCAAAATTCCTCCTTTCCAGTATAGCATATGTTATGTAACATTCTTTGTTCTTTCTTTTTTCCAGAAACCATTCCTGTGAAACTTATGGCAAAGTTAAGAAATCCAATAAACAAGCACATATTATAGAATTTAGTGTTTATGCAATCTCAAAGGATTGCAAAATATAGGATTTGTTATGAATACAGAGCGGGAAGTTCAGTTAAATGGATCAGTGGAACTAAGATGATAGACATCATAGTCAGCAAACTTTAGAAGTCTGAATTAATAAAGAAAATCCTGAATATGTTGAAAATATAGATAAATAAATGTAATATGAAATTGATGATATAATTAGATTGTCAACTCTTCAAATATAATATTCATATAAAATGTAGAACCATTTCATAAATTTATTGAAATTGATCTTGGAACTTCCCCTGCAAGCAATTCTATTGGCACCAAATAGGATTCTTGATCTACAGTGTTTGCTGAATCAATAAAAACCTAAGTGATTTTGGTTTTCTGCCCCTTTATCTTAATTTCTGAGGATGTCTATTTCATATGCTTAAGGTCTATTTTTCCTGCCTTGACAACTCAACAACTCCTTGTTTGGCACCTGTTTCTGGATGGACAATATTAGACATTTAGTTAAGATACTGCTTACTCTGTCTATATGTTGTGGCTCCGTTACCTGAGCCTGTGTCATCGGCAGGAGAGGACTCCGAGAGTGAAGGAGAGGAGTTGGCAAGGCCTCCCTCTCCAAGACTCTCCTCTTTGGCAATGCCTTCGGTGTCTGCCGAAGGGCAAGAGATAGGGCCGGGGCCAAGCACGTCCACGTAGCCACAGGTGGACAGTGATGAGAGTAATGAGTCTTGGCTGGATCCACACCAGCGTCGCAGAGATAAGCGCACGCAAGAGAAGAAAAGGCGTGCCCGAGATTAGGCTGAGTCACTGGACCACACCCCACAAGGTATAAAAGGGAGCGTGGTGGCCAGTCAAACCATGTGACGAACAAAGCTGAAAGCTTCCACGCCATTCTGCATTGCCGGACTTTTGCTATAGACTTTGCTGGATTATATTTGGACTTGATTTACTCTGTAATTATTGAGCATTTTACTTTGATGTACCAGAAGTGGAGAGAAGTTATCGCTACCCTTCGTAAGTAATAAACACTTGGCAGGCAGCCACTAGGTTGCTGCCAAGTTCTGTTATCATAAGGAAAAGGATTTTGTTGGCTGGTTTGGTTTTTAACTCTTGGACGTCTGTTGGTGTGTGTGAGTGTGGGACGAGGACAGAACATCATATCTGAAAGGAACATTCGGGACAAGAAGTCCTCAAAATAGAGTGAATTTTCACCTAAAAGTAGATTCTTCTTCATAATATAGACATTCACTTATATCTTTTGTTACATCTTGATCATGGCACCATATTTGACTTTTGGCTCTCCTACACTGCAGCCTTCAACTATTTATTTTTTCTGTTTAAACCAGCTAGAAATGAGGCTGGTTAAAGAACTCCCACTATAAATTTCAAAACCTTCCTTAGGTTTGATCATAGCGATTTCTTGATGTTCTTTCCAGACTTTACTTACCCAGAACTTCTGATTGTAGTTTCTTCAGCATGTCACCTTGGCTGGAAGGGTCTATACTTGCATTATTTTATCAATCAATATATAAAGAAATGTGTGGTTTCACTTACATTAACACTTGTTAGGAAAAAACCTTTCACTGTTTTACTGGAGAACTTGTAAAAACAAATATGACAGTGGAGAGCCATGTCCAGTCACTGGGGAAAGAGTCAATCTTTCCCGCAAATTTCTCAATTAACCTTGTTAACAGAATTATTAGCTCAAGCTTTTAATATCTTTTATGTGTTTCAGAGACTGTTTCTACTCCAGTTCACACAAATTACGTGTTCTTGGGATTTATGCAAACTTTTAGTGTCATGCAAATAATTAAACTTCTACACATTTTATACAAGGAATCTCACATCAGAGCTCCAAGTGCTGTGTTTCAAGCAAGAGATTGGTAATACCATTATATTTAAATTATCTTTCCAGAGAGTTGCTATGATGTCATCCTGTCTCCTCCCACAGTGTAAACTAAACTGTCAAAGTTTAGCTGTCTCTGTGACAGAGAGAACTGTTCACTTCATTGCAGCTGCATTACCTTGCATGACACTCTTCAGCATCTTTAACAGTGGATTTTTTTGTTTGGAAGTATGATATCAAGATTGGTCTTTCTCCTTTTCTGTGGACATTTTGCACAAATCCTTGGAAATGCTGGGAAATTGCCAAAAGGCAAGTAGATATGGTTCTCATACTTCGTAGGGAAGAAATGCTTAGCCTTTATAACACAATCTTGTTTTCAGAAAATATGAAAGGATTAAGAATGCAGTGAAGGAGAAATGAAATAGTAAAAATTGCAAAAACACATAAAAGAGACACAGAGACAGATGGAGTAATTTAAAATTCTTTGCATAAACAAAGGAAAGGATAAAACATACTTTATAATTTCTTGACCTAAACAAGAAACACTGCAATCAGATGAAAAGCTAGTTTTGTTGATTTTTTAAACATTTACTTCTTATGGTAGTATGTAATGTGATCTCTGATACATGTGTGTAAACAGGATTCAGTTCTTTCAACTTCACTGTAAACACTTTAAAACTGATTTGATTTACTGTGTATCATCAATACTAGTTTTCCTCAATTACTTGTCTTTAGTATCTATTAAAATCTATGCTTGTGTCCCTATAAAATGCAGTGGACCCAATTTTTTGTAATGTGAAAGAAATTATGCAAAATTTTAAATTTATTTTTCTTCAGTATATGTTAGTCTGACATTTTAAACTTCTTACTGAAAACGATCTGTGCTGTAACATTAATATCATATTTATAAATCTAGATTAAACTGCCCACTACATTGGTATTTTTTAACCCTGTGATGCTTCACATTCTGTTACTGACTTTGCTGAAATGCTTTTTAATAGAGTGTATGCTTTGCAGATGTGCCCAGTGTGTCTAGAAATCCCTTAAGTAGCATTTTATTTTCTATTCAGTGGAAAGTTAAATTAGAAAAGATTTTCCTAGATTATGCATGTATGACATATTTCATGTCAGGCGAATAATGACCTTTTCCCATAAAATAATGTGGTTTTTTTAATTTGTAATTTGAAACGTTTATATCCTTCCTGCACAAAATGTAGTCTTTATCAAAATGCATATATATTGTAATGTATTTATCAAAGGAAATATAGTAACATGCTTACCTTCTGAGCTAAATAGTATAGTTCTTTCATTAGAACATGTGGATAATTCTATATATCTACCTTATCCACTTTTATGGGATAATAATCATAAGTATCTGAGTGCAGAATTCTGACAGAATGTTTTATTTTGTGTCTATATTTCATGCCCCAATTCATTAAGGCAGATGTTTTCTCAAATTAAATGGAAGCTGAAAATACTAATTATTATTTTTCATTTTTCCAATTATTCTTGATTTTGTAAAGAAATAAACATCTACTTATTCTAGTTTTCCAGATATGTACAAATGTAGTGTGAGGCTCTTTCTAATATACTGCACCTATTGTCAATCTGAAGATATTCCAAAGATTTATCCATTTCATTGTAATATTTTTAGGTATTTTAAATGTTTTTGGTATTTTGAACATTTAATAACATTTGTTTCTTTGAACTCTTGTGTTATTAAATTAAAAAAATAAAGAATACACTGAACTTACTTTCTCCAGTATAGCACTTCTATTCACAGTCTTCATAAAATAATACAAGCATTCCAGCTAACAGCAGTGCTTTGAATTCAGTTCATAATGCTAAGAGCTGCCAAAGTTATTTTTGGGTAGACTTAACCATTTCAGTGAAGTTTATTCCTGGCATTAGGTTATGAATGTAGATTTTCTTTCTCTGGTACAAAAAAAGGGAAGGGAAGGGAAGGGAAGGGAAGGGAAGGGAAGGGAAGGGAAGGGAAGGAAAGGAAAGGAAAGGAACAATTCCTTGGTACAAGAACAGAAAAAAAAATCTGTTTTTGTACCAAGCAAAAGAAATGTAGTTATAAAAACTAATAGGATGTTTGGATGTTAATTATTTGGATTTAGTATAAAAGCTGTTTTAACAAATGTTCTTTCATATCATATTCCACTCAAAAGAAATTTCAGCTTGAAAACATTAGTAGGGAAATACTATTTTCTGTAGGAGTTACCTAAAATTTGGTTTGGTAGTTTTAGAACAAGTCAAAAGAGACTGAATGTTTACATTAAATCGCCACCTGAAGAACAAATGTGTCTAGAAAAGTAAGGCTGCCCATCATGGTCATAACTTGTGATGGTCATAAAGTGGTTAATCACATGACTGACCCAACTTTAGGACCTTCTTGTGGTAGTTTTAAGTGAACGTGGTGGTCATTAAATGAATGTGGCAGTCATTAAGCAAACCAATAGTTTGCTATAGTGCAATTTTGCCAAAAAAAACCCCAGAAATAAATAAATATAGGTTTTCAGCAAAACTATCATAAAATGTGACCACGTGACTGCAAGATGCTCTACATGGCCACAAATGCAGCCTAGTTGCTCAGCACCTGAAGTGCAGTCTGTGACCATGATGGGCAACGTCAGAACTTTGAATCCAGGCCATAAATACCCTTCAGGTACTGTAGGTCTATTGGAATTTTGAACAGTCCCTAAACAACTGGTTGTAAGTTGAGGACTACCTGTAATGCCACAGGTAGGATTTTTGATGCATCTATAGTGTAAGTATATAAATACAGTTTCTTATACCCTTACTTTAAAGATAAGTGAATCTGAAACACCTTGCTATTTCTGCTTTTGAAATTTTATGGTTTCTTAACTAGCAAGACCCTGTCCAGATCCTGGTCTCTAATTAAATAGATATATATGAAATACTAATTTGAATATACCAAAAATAAAAACAGAGCTAAATGTGGCATGATTGCCCAAATGAGTAGATCAAACAAAATCTACTCCGTTTAACTGTATGCGCTTTAGAATTTCAGGTCAAATTCAGAAGTGGCTTGCAGCTCTCTTCCCATTTTAAATGTCTTACAGATATTTACTTTCTATGTTATATCTTTCTTTAGCTGTTTAAAAACATGACACTCTTAAAAAGGTCAACAGGCCTTTTTTTAAGGCTATAGGCTTCTTTCCAAACACTCTTTGGAGTACCTGTGTAACTACACAATGTTGACTGGTTATGTGGACATTCAAGGAAGAGTAAGGAAACAGGTTTCTATACTCTGAGCATAGTAGCCTCAGTCCTTCAAATATTGTAGGAAATGATTGCTGTACATGTAAACGTATTTCAGATAAACATTGGCAGAAAAGTAATGCCAGAAGCATCCTGCAATAGCTGCAGATATTTAAAAATTAAGCTGCCTGTTATGTGAAATGGAGTGTATACATAGATGTCCCCACGTAGCTGCAGACAAGGGATAACAATACTGTCAGTAATATTTATTTTAATTTCCATTTCACATGAAATATTAATGGCTGGGAACAAGTAAATGTAGCTAGATGTTGCACATATCTGTTAGACATTTAAAATGGGAACAGAGCTGCATTGTGTAATGTTTGTGGTATGCATTTACTATTCCATGTTTTTAGTTGTTGGCATTTTTAAGTGTTTTTCAACTTTAGCAAAACCGCAATTCAGAAGTTTTATTGATTCTTATGCTCCTAGGCAATAAGTCCCTAAGAATACCAAAAGACATCTTAGTATATCAAATACAATGCAATATTATATGAAATTGTACTACCAGCAGGTAAAATGAAATACTGGATTGAACATTATTTATTAATTGATTTATTTTATTAGATACTCAAAATTACACACAATTAAGCTTAAAATATGAATAAATTTATTTTTCTTCAAAAAAATGCAACTTACAGTAGTTCTTGAGTCCTGACCACAATTGAGCCCAAAATTTCTGTTGCGAGACAGTTGTTAAGTGAATTTCTCTCCATTTTATGATCTTTCTTGCCACAGTTGTTTGTGAATGACTGCAGTCCTTATGTTAGTAACAAGGTTGTTAAGTGAATCTGGCTTCCCTATTGCCTTTGCTTGTCAGGAGTTGCAAAGGGTGATCACATGACTCCAGGACATTGCAAGTATCAGAAATATCAATTAGTTGCCAAGCATCTGAATTTTGGTCATGTTACCATAGGGTCCTAAGTGTAAAAAACGGTCATAAGTCACACTTTTCAGTGTCGTAACTTTGAACGGTCATTAACTGAATTGTTGTGAGTTGAGGACTACCTGTATAAAATTGAATGTTGTGAGACAAATTATAAATCCACAACAGTATAGTAAATAAACAAAAATAATTTCAGTAGTGAGTAGAAAATAAATAAATTACCTTAATTATGCATTTAACTAAATGAAATAGCCATATGGTATATCTATATAATATATAATAATATTATATTAATATTATTCATTAATAAATTATTCATTAATAAATAAATGAATTAATAAATTCATTAATATATATATATATATATATATATATATATATATATATATATATATATTAATGAATCCATATTGTGATCAAATTGGGAAAAGAAAAGGCATTGCTGTATAAAAAATATTGTGAATAAATAGACTCAAATCTATTTCTTCAGAAATAGGACTTCAGAATTTCCAATAATATCAGACTTCAGCTCATATATACCAGGTCCCAATTGTTTAAGTTCTCAGCCATACATTTTTTTTCTTCCTGTGTCAAGAGGTGTCTTCAATACATAGGAATCAGCTATTTGTTAAAGACATCTTCTCAACAGGCCTTTACATTGGTGGTACCTGCTGCTTAGGTTCTATTAAAGCAATTGGGCATAAAAGAATGTTTTCCATCAGAAATTTAACACTATCTTCACTAAAAAAAAAATTGAATTAACATAGAAATCTCTGAGGGAAGTTGGTGGCTTCCAGCATTCCAACTGTTTCATTCAAGGAAAGGCCCTCAACAGAACAGAACAGAACAGAACAGGACTATAACCCATAAACCAGTTTTATTTTTTATGATTTATGAAGGAATAGCAACTCATTTCTTCTAATAACTCTCCTTGTCACTTCTCTTAAGACAATTTCTGCCCCCCACCCCCATTTATTTATTTAGTATTTATTTTTTAGCAATGGGCATTTTTCTCATTTGCAATAAGTGTGGAGCTTTTCTAAAAAGAAAAACAGCATGATCCTCCAGCAGTGATCCTCACTTGCCAGAATAGGATTCCCTCCCCTTCCTTTTCCTTTCCTCTTGCTGCATT